AGTTACACGTGCGAATTTTTTCTCGCGCCGGCAACGCAACGCCTTTGCAACGGGTTAAATTTCATTGCGTTACTTGCGCGAGTGAAGTGGTGACACGAGCAATGATAGCTTAGCCGCGTCGCAACTATTTGCATGAAAATCCGGACACTAGTGTTCGCAATTCGCAAACGTCACTGACAGCAACATGGCGTCGAAAAAAAACTTGTGGTCATAGCTGCAATGCTTTTGCTGGAAGAAGATGACGAGGAGGTTAAAGAAAGTTACTCGCGCGAGTGAAGTGGTGATACGAGCAATGATAGCTTAGCCGCGTCGCAACTATTTGCGTGAAAAAACCCGGCACTAGTGTTTCGCAATTCGCAAATGTCACTGACAAGAAGATGACGAGGTGGTTAAAGAGAAGAAACGTATTTGGAGCCGGCACTGGCTTCTAGAGAGAAAAAAACAAAGGTTATTTCGGTCAGCTTCTTCCCGATCTGGCTGCCCACGACACACCAGGATTTGAAAAATTTATGCGAATGGATTTTGATCATTTCAAAAAGGTAGTTGATAATCTATCTGAAAAGCTTTACAAGAAAGACACAATAATGCGTGAATCAATCAAGCCAGCAGAAATGTGTTGTTTAACGCTTCGATATTTGGCAGCGCTACAGCACGCTGTCCGTACAGAAGCGAATTTCATTGGCTATCTTAAAATAGCCCATGCATTTCCTGCTCAAACAATGCCTGGGTAATTCGATATTTTCGGCAATCGTTGCCGAAAGTTCAAGCATTTCAACTTTCCGCAACGATTGCCAAGAATATCGGGTTGCAATTGCGTTACCGCGCCAGATATGTTACACGGGCAATTTCATGACTCGCGCGAGTAACGCAATGAAATTTAACCCGTTGCGTTGCCGGCGCGAGAAAAAAATCGCACGTGTAACTGGACCTTAACGCGACAACTATTCGCATTTCACGGTCTACCTGAATCCGCAGTAACTTTACTTAGACGTTTACATGCTGTCGCGTACGATACGGATTTTGGCGTATACAAATTACGCTGATGCCGTAATTGTCGTAATTCCCCTTCATTACTGTCGTTCCAATTGAAGTGTTCCTCAAATATTTATTCAATACATTACCTTGGGCTGACCAATTCATTTGATAGAAAATTGATCAACTTCCTGTTACTTTTAAATGAGCCAAAATAGATTTCGTTTCAGAACCGATTGACCAATAGGAAACGCACAGGAAGTAAAAAAATTGAATTCGTATGAATTGGTCAGCCCGAGGTAATGTATTGAATCAATATTTGAGGAACACTTCAATTGGAACGACAGTAAGTTCATGGCGAAATTTGAAATGCAACCACTTAACCTGTTTCTTTACGTGTACTTTTGATGTACAATCGCAGCGTGTAAACGTATACGTTAATGTCCATTTCTTTTCTCATTACATTATAGCCTGCGAACAGGCTCTCAAGCTGAATTGAGAGCCTGCATCGATGACTAATGAATTTGAATATCTGCCCCGTAACGTTCGTTTTTCCAAATATGGAATTCTATCCTTATATGGTGTTGTTTACAACTTTCGTGCCAACTAAATTTAGACTGTGCAAACTAAATTTAGACCGTACAAGTTTATACTGTTTTTCGAAATATAAGATATTCAAGCAAAAGTTCAAATGTTTTAAATACTGTTTTCTCAAAACAGAACATTTTGTGCTTTGAGATAAGATGGCCAAGACCAATTTGATCAGTTAATGTGTTTTTTATGCATAGTGCTTCAGCAGTTGACATATATATATATATATATATATAGCTCAGCGGAAACATATAAATTATAGCATCTGACCAATGAGAATTTCGCGTCACGATTTGAGACGCAGATATTCAAATTCATTAGTCATCGATGCAGGCTCTCAATTCAGCTTGAGAGCCTGTTCGCAGGCTAATTACATTATTCTCTCAGTCTCTCATGCAGACCAACATCTCGTACATACCTATACCAGGTAGATCCCAAAACATGATCTTGGAGTTGGTAGGATGGGGATACTTAGCTACATTTATTGTTGTCTCTTTAACGCCTGTGTCCGCAGCGCCTTCATCGTCATCTTTAAGTCTGGTTAAATTTAAATCATTGAAGATATAACTAGAAATACATTAATGCAACCTTCTCACCCAATTATAACTGTAGGCAATGTAGGCATTGTGTGTGCTCGTTAATCCATTAACATTATATATGACATATAATGAGCATACACAATGTGGGCCACAGAAAATGTTACATGATCAACCGTTTTAAATGAGTTCATGGGGTAATTAAAAGAATGCAAGGGTATTATACTATCATATAAACTGTATTTTATTGTTAAAATGTATTTATTTGACTAATTTAAGAATGTTTTTAGAATAGTTTTGGTTGAGTATAAAAAACCGTTAAAAACCCGCAACACCTGATCATTCATTCTGAGATTGGGCCGCCTGTGAATGAATGTGGATTTTTGTTTCGTCACTATATAACAAAACACTGAAGGGTCACTGAATGTTTGTTCCCTCGGGAAATAGTTTTATTTCCTCTTGGAAGCCGACATTAAGTGTATTTTAATATTATTTACTTGGGAGATTGACCTTTTCCCCTACAATATCAGTATGGTCATTATAGGTGAGAATAATTTTATGGGCAAAGTCCTTTGGACAAGTCAAGGAAAATACCAATTGCGTATTTTCCTTTATTTATTCCTCCAGTAATTTTATCAACAAGTTCAATGACTGTGAGCTCTGTTGATCTATATTTTTTCTAAATCCTTATTGATGCTTTGATATACCATTTAATTTTTTTAACGTTTTCACTTACTCCTAAAGGCTGATTTCCTTTTAGCTTGTCGGGTAAACTATTTGCCCATAATTAATAAATAATTAATTTTATCGCGGGAAAAGTGCAAGTACTTCATTTGAAGCAAATGATAATGCATTTTTTTTTTTTTAATTTTATTTTCCGGTCGTTTGCGTTGCAGGATATGACTAACTCGCGAGCGTTCTTTAAGTTTGTCGGCGCCCGCTTTGATAAACTACATTTCCTACCTTAGTAATATGAAAATGTGCGGTTTTTTTGTTTGCACGCAACATAACATTTTCAAACTTTTTTTCTACATTTTTAAATTATAAATTGTTTTCTAGAATTTACTAGCTAGGGTTATGGAAGGATTTTTAGTTGGGACCAGTTTATTTGATAAAAATTCAACTACAGCCACCGACAAGGAACTACATGCGCACTAACAAAGACCGGCCGCCAACTCGCTTCCGTTTCGCTTGTTTCGTTTCGGTTGTTCCGGTGGTTTCGTTTCGTTCTGTTTTGTAACTTTATGAGTACAGAAAATCTTTAAATTTTAGCAAATCTTTAAATTACCGTAAATGTTTAAATTGACTCAAAATTTTGTGTCTCCGTGAGTGCATTTTTTTCCCGAATCAAAATACTCGGGAATTTTTGCAGTGAAGGAATACTTCATGCGTACATACTTACAGACAATGCTTGTTAAATGTGGAGTCCACAGTAATTTGCAGTCCCACGGTTTCGAGTATCTCTGCGATAAACGCTTGAATTGCAAGATCCGTGTTCATTGTAAAACTATCAGAGTTATTGACAAAAACTGGTTCCAAAACAAAGTTAACACTAATTGGTGATGGCGCGATGCACATTACAGTCAAAATTGAATATAATTCTCCATATATTTTTGACCAAAAACAAATTTGACCAAATTTCCAAATTTCAGATGTTAGCGCATTTATTTTTAATATTTCTTTTGACCAACAACAAAATATTTTGACCAACTTTTTAATGTTTAGAATCCTGGGGGGGGGGGGCGTTGCACTGCCCCTTAGGCCCCCGGTCGCCACGCCCCTGTTGATTCGTTGTATAAAAGCAGGGAAAGGGTGCTAAGCAGGTAATCTTTGAACTGTCTGTGCCAGTGTAGGTAGTGTCAATAATATGAACAAGCTTTCGTTGGTAGGGATACAACTGCCTGAAAAATATAAGGTTTGGTGAGCATCAGTGGGCAGTCATTGGCAATGATGCTAACCAGCCTGTTGCCAGACATTTTAATACTGGAAATCACAGTACTTCAAATATGGAGATTCGAGCCCTCTGTCCCATTTTTGGAAGCAACGATATCCGCAAAAGACATGAAATGCGCCTCATTTCCAAACTTGGCACTGTCTACCCCTATAGCATTAATGAACGCTTTTCCTGTGTTTAGCTCTAACTGTCTTTGCCTGTCAAAAGCAGACATTGACAGCACTTTTAATTCTAACCTTATTCCATACTTGCTTCATATATTTAGTTGTTTTTGCAGTTGCTGTAGGTTTCGTTTCTGTATTAATATATTCTGTAATAGGATTTACATTGTTTGTTTTTATATAATTATACTCTGTTTCGTTTAAATTCATCTGATAGGTTTACTTTTTTGTCACGTGATCGCTTTTATATTATTAGCATAAAAGCTCATATGTATTTCCTGACCCCCGCTAGTAACTCCAGACGAGGGGCCTTCGTTCGAAATGTCGAATTTCTCCTTATATTTTTCAGGTAGTTGCATACCTACCAACGAAAGCTTGTTAATTCATATTAAACAGGTAAGTAAGGTAAATTATTCGTGAAATAGGGATAAATAGATTAACCCGCCTGTGAGTTACTATAAAAACGAAACAAAAAGCTTCTGCTGAAGAGAGTGGTACTAATATTCCATCGGAAATTGCCACCCACGCCTCATAGCAAAGCCTTCGCCCCCTACGGCTGGTGGTAAGGGGACAAACTTGATCCAGTATTCGCACCGGCGAAACAAAATTTTGCTTGCAACCTACTCTATTCAATGGAATCTTTAATCACGGGACTAAAGCTTTTGAAGGACTAATAGTATTTAACTGATGACCCTTTATAGTAAATTCAAAGGTGGAGCTGTGGAGCTCATGTTGAGTATTTCCCATATTTCTTTACCTACGCTGTGATACGTTAGCAATTTCATCATTCCTGGTACCGATGTTTAAACTCTAGTCGAAACGTCGAATAAACACTTCAAAATGTTTACTGTTTTCAGAGTTACTATTGCATTGTATTTAATAATTGATAGCGTTTCCCAGTTTCATTCAATCTGGAATATTTGGTGCAAATCCATCTGTGACATAGGCTATTCATGAATTTCCGTACTCTTCTGTAATTGCTGGAAATTGCTTTCTTGGTCAGCACAACGTCCCTAGGTTTAGCACTCAATTTTTCACAATTGGAAAAATAAAATCGTTAAAGCATGTTATTTGTTAAAGCACAATTAATTTCCTTTGGACAGTTTCGACATGCACAAATATATGATTGAGAGCGTTCTTATTCATCGGCGTTTAATTTACTATCGGCCCCGTTTAAGCTAAATGGGCTTTGTTTTCGTCCAACAAACCCAAAACCTCTCTAGATTTTTTTATCAGAACTTGTGGTTTAATTATTAATATATATGCCAAACGGTTTTAAAATCACTTACCCTCGTATGGCATTTATAAAGCTGGACTTTCCAACGCCAGAATCACCTGTTATGCCGATATCTATTTTAACGTCTTTCCATCCTTCGAGTTTTGCTTTAAAAAATTCTTCTATACCAGACACGCCGTGTTCTTCAATATGCTTTGGAACGTCGTCCATGCTTAGTACCTCATATTCTGACAAGTCCGCGGTAGTTTCACCAGTTGAAGTTGTCCTTAGTCTCACCAGATGAGTCTTCCATAGTTGCACTGCTTACATTGCCCAAAGTTTCACATGATGAGTCGTCCATAGCTTTAAATTTCTGAAGACTTTGGCTACTTCAATATCAAAACCAACCTACTTCAAACAATTCCAACTTGTAAATGGTTTGTAAAATAAGGCGGTGCATGTTATTCCCATAAACATAACTTATTTGCAAACCGAGTTACAGGAAAAGGTTGGGAGAACTCGTGAACAGATCAGTGCAAAAGTTTGCAAGGTTAGATTTCGTATATACTGCAGACTTCTCTAAGTACTCTAACCTTCAACGATTTTTGTTTAATTATCCTATGAAACATGAAAACGTATTTTATTTGTCGTATAAAGTAATGGTAAAATAAATAGACCGGAGTCTTTCTTGTTTTTTAAGCTTTAATAATGAAATTGGACGTTTATAATCCGACAATTGGATTGGACGTTTATAATCCGACAATTGGCTAATGTTTAAAATCCGATCCAATCCGAAATTGTCTAATCCGATCCGAGTTGTGATAAAGAATTCCAATCCGATCCGATCCGAAGAATCCTTTAACAAAATAAATTTTTCATTCAAGTTGAAATGTTTATCCAAATCAAAATAAAAACAAGAAATACATGTCAAGAAGTTGACAAATTGATGCCCAATTGAAGTATCAAACGAAAAATGCAGCGACAACCGCGATAATGCTTTGATAAATGCATGGATAATTAATTCTTGCAATAATGCGTGGATAATTAATTCATTTTATTTCGAATATCGAAGTCCGATCCGATCCGAC